ATTTGTAATGTTTCTCCACTTGCAGGAATCATTCGCTCCCACCCCAATTCTGCCTTCTAAATATGTTTAATGACTGGTTCAAACGTGACTTCCTTCATTAAAGCATCCCTAGTCCTTTAAATCAGGATAATCCTTCCCCCTTCTGAACTCTTTATATTCGTATAGTGCATTGTTTTTGGCACCGTTTTTAAGTTATCATCTGCCTTGTAGATGTTGTATATCTGGTTTATGAATTAGAAAGTTACTACTTTACGCGTGTCTAGTGCTTTCACATGGCTTTGAGAAGGGTAATTTCATTTGACTCTTACTAGAGTCATATGTATTAGTTTTACAAACCAGGAAGCCAAATTCCAGAGAAGTAAATATAACTGTCATAAGTAACATTTGCAAGCTTAAGTTTGCCTTTTATAAGAATATTCTTTTGTGTTATCTCGTTTGCTCCTCTTGATAAATCTGAGTCAGTCAAGCAGGCAGCTAATAAATTTTTTTGTGTATTGATCAGGTGCCAGGTACTGTGGCGGATAAGGGGATGCTGAACTAAAATAGACGGTCGGTGTCTCTTCCCTGGAGCATCTTAAGTTCTAAGTTGAGGAAATGGCACAATAAATTTGCAATTAAAACAAATAGTCTCAAGTACTGATAAACGCTATGAAGAAGATAAAATGGGGTGATGTGCTAGGGAGTTGCTGGGGTTGAGGGTAGAGAGGATATTGCTTTGTCTACGATTATCAGGGAAGAGCCTACTGAGGAAATGATATTTGAATTTAGACCAAAATGACGGGAAGGAGGCAGCTAACCAAAAATCCAGAGAGAGAGCCTTTCAGGCAGAAGGAACCAGAGATGTGCTCAAGGGGAGGAAAGCAGGCCAACATGGCTGGAAAGGAGAGAGGAGTGGGGACGTGAAAGGAGATGTTGCTGGAGGGGTAGAGAGGGGTCCATGTAGGCCTTCTCAGCTATAATGAAGACTGGGGCTAATTTCCTACTTGTGATGGGCAGTTATTAAAGGATTTTCAACAGGAAAACTTTGTGATCTATGTTTTAGAAATACTCTAGCTGTTGTTCAGAGGATAGACTGGGGCCAGGAGGGGGTGAGCAATAGCGGAGACAGGGGTCAGTAGAATAGGACTTGGAGGTAAAGTGGCTTCTGCAAGGTCACTTGGCTGCTAAAGGTTGGCATGAGAAGTGTGTCTTCTGCCAGCTCATTGCCCAAGGTCGTGCAGAAGGTCAGGCACAGATGGGGCAGTGTACTATACAAGGTCTTTGGGTTTTTAGAGTAATGCCTCTACTAGCACATGGTAGAAATACAAATACAGTATTTCCTAGGGCTTAATAGCAATTGACTAATTTGTTTTTATTAATATGGCCGATAAAAGGAAAGAAAAGTTGTGTATTTTCCTTTTTTTCTCATTTGGTTTTGTTAAGCTTAATCTTAAGTTATTCCTGTATTTTTTCTTCCTCATATACTTTGACTAATGTTGCTTAAGTTTTATATGCTGACTTGCTTCTTCCTAATTACAGGCTTTGGGTGGCCATTTTAAACTATTTTTCCCCATGTCAAACTTGTGGGGTTTTTTTGTGAGGAAGCTTGGCCATGAGCTAACATCCGTTGCCAATCTTCCTCTTTTTGCTGAGGAAGATTGGCTCTGAGCTAACATTCGTGCTCATCTTCCTCTGTTTTGTATACGGGACGCCTCCACAGCATGGCTTGATGAGTGGTACGTCGGTCTGCGCCGAGGATGTGAAGCTGCAAACCCTGGGCCACCCAAGCGGAGTGCACAAACTTAACCACTACGCCACCAGGCCAGCCCCAAACTTGTGTTTTTAAAAAAATTCAGAGAAGAGGATTTTAGAGCTAAGCAGCATTTGAGCTAAGCATCTTTGATGAGTAAAAGTGTCTTAGAAAATGGGAAGAAGCAATATTGATATTTTTTACTTAATGATATACATAGTCTCTTCATTAAAACTAAGATCTTAAAATATCTTTAATTTTCTCATTAAAAAATAAAATATTTAAAGCCCAAATGTTCTGAAATGTTCTGAAATGACACAATTACTAATCTCTGATAAATAAAATAATAATTTTGTTTGAGATTATGAGAACATTTTGTAGGAGTATTCACATTGCAATCAGTAAGTCACCCCTAGATCCTGGGATTAGGATAAATCATCCATAGCAACTTTACAGAGAATTTTACAGAGAATTACAGAGAATTTTCTTTTCAATAAGAGACTGGAACCACTCTAGGCTGTTTTTCTTCACGTAGCTGTCTCTCTAGACCACTCTTTGTTGGCGTTAATTTATTACCAACTATGTGTCAGGCACAGATGCAGAAAATGGAGATGCAAAAATGATTAAAAATAGCCTGTTCTCAAGTAACTCACCAAAAAAGATGAACCAGTCAATCAGCAATTACTGTACATATTAGTTGACAAATAAAATGATATCCCACCTGGTATGATAGAACTAAGCCTGGGAGCACTGGGCAAGGGTACCTACCTCACCCTGAGGCCACTGGAGAAGGCTTCCTAGAGGAGCTGGCCCTTGAACTGACACTCAGAGGACAGGCTTGTGTTAGCCAAGCAGGGGTTGGGTGGAGAGGAGAGACTGTCAATCCTTTCTGCCTTCATTTGACTTGCAGTGGGAAGTTTCATGAGTATACAACATGGATGGTTCACAGAAGGCACTGAGCTAAAAGTTCTGTTTGACTTGTGGCTATTTTTAGCTACAGAATGGTAGAAACAATGGACCATGATTTAGCACCACAGTATCTATAAAGCACATTCCCACACGGAATCCTCGGTAATGGTACTCCAGGTTCACTTCGATTTGTATTTTGTTAATCTCTCTTCTAATGAAAACTCCCTCTGACTTCATACACATCATCTTTTTCTCGTTTTCCTTTTCCTTCTTCTAGTTATTCTCCTCATTCCCTTTTTTTGGTTCACTCTTCTTTTCTCCATTTAAAAATCAAATTTATAAATGTTACGTGGGGCTAAAGAAAATGGATTGAAAGCATTTGCACTGTGTTTGAGCAGCACCACAAAAAGACACTTTACAGAAATTTCTGATGCTCGTTTAACATGTCTTCCCTTAGGTTTTTAAGCAGAGTTTTGGGGTTCAAAAAGACATGGAAAGTGCTTCAGCAACTGTGTGCACAGTTTTTGCTACAATAATAGCACATTTTGCTGTAATCAAATTACAGTAGTATCAGCAGGAACAACAGGAAAACTTGTGCTTGGTCTCTTTTCAGAAAAGGAAGCTGATCCCACTGAAGCCAAGCTTTACTAAAATAGCTCACAATAGGGGAACGTGTCAGGACTGGGCCTGAATGGGTATTTTTGTTAATATTTATTTTGTAGATCTTGCTAGTGAGTAAACAAGTCTTGGCATTTATTTGGGCATTTTGGGGGGTGTGCATTACCTCCTCCTAATAACGAGAGTTTTATTTAGTGAATTACAGATCTTTGAGCTCTGTTGTTAAATGGTCTGAGTTGCCAAGCTCTTTGGCACATTCCTAAATGGAAAGTTTTCATGCCTGTGCAAATGTATTATTATTAGGAACATGTGTGTGATGAGTTAGTATCTTAACTAGATATTTTAATGTCATGCTACTAAAAAGTGGATTTATTGATTATGTGACAATTCATTTCTAGTATGCAGCCAATGCATATTGGGTAAATACTAGCTTTTTTCATGAGAACTCAGAGCTTAGAATTCTTGCGACAATTTTTGGGAACATATTAGTTTGAAACCAAGGCAACCAGTCTGAGTTAGTTGCAACGATTCTGAGGTTTTGGGGAGAGGATCCTAGTTTGGCTTCTTCTGTCTAGCGATTTCCTCCCTATCACTGCCTTGGAGTTTTGAGTGCTTGAAATTGACAAGAGTATCCATAGGATGACATGATGAAACTGAACCATAAAATGCCTTCTCTGTCTTATCTGCTATTGGAGATATAGGATGACCCATAAAGCACTGCTGTCTAGATTTTTGGATTTTATTGACCAATAAAATTAAAAATAGAGGAAAAACATATAGTTTCCAAATCTTTATTTTGCTATGTAGGACATTAAAAAATACTCAAAAGACAAAAATGAATATCTACCCTCACCATTTTCCAAAAGAAGCCATATATTTTAACATCAAAGTGTATCAAGGATAAAATCTCAGAACGAGTGAAGTCCTTCCCAAGAGAGGATGATTGGTGATGTTGCACTGATGTTTTCTCCACAGACTGGTGAAAATTTTGCCAAGGATTGTCATTCACCCTTGAATTGCATATTAAGAACTGCTTTCAGAAGATCCTACATCGTCAACCCACCTCTTATAGTCTGTGGTGCAGTTTTTGGTTTCTCTTTAATGAATTAGGAGCCTGCAAATGTATTCTTGTCCTCTTTGGTGGAAGTTTATTAAAATTTTTAAATCACTGAAGGTGAATGATTTAATATTATTTCACCTAACTGTGTAGTTATGAGCTGATACTGGTCATGTGCTAAGGAACATGTGAAAGACATTTGAGGTTTTAAATTTATGTGGTTTGCCCAGATTACTGGTCTCCCCTTAGTATTATTTTGCTTCCTTTCTGTCTCCAGCTTTTGCTTTCTTTCTCTTAATCACCTTTCTCAAGAGTTTTTGCTCAACCAGTGAGAATTCAGTGATAGATTGCAATCTACTTTTTGCTCAAAGTATCCTTCAGTATTCCACAGAGTTCCTCAAAGGGGCCTTTTAAGTTTCTGGAGAGCATTAAAGAACAGAGTAAATCATGACATAGACATTTTTCAGATCCTAGAACAGTGAATTCAAAGTTATACAAATCGGTTTTAGAAAGTGGCATCCTAATGCCCGTCATACAGATATAAATATCATATATATTTCTTTTGGCTCTTATCTTATTGACCACTTTTTGAAACGCTGGGATACCTTCCTTGAAAATGAAAAGTAGAGAATGCTGGTGTAATCATGATTTATTTTACTCTTTTTTTGGTTTTATTTGTGAAAATAGGCTGCACAGCAAGCATCTTCATCTTCACCCAATTATTCTTTCTCTTCTTTGGAAAATACAATAAAGACACCCAGCAGTTCGTCTTCCTCCTTACCTAAAGAAAGAAAGTCCTGGATCGACATAGTTGACAGTTTGTCTGCTGCTGAAGACGTGGGACAATCTATAACATTTGCTGTGCGGGTTCATTCACCTGCACCCTCAGAGGCGAACAGTGGCAAGGCCCTGGAAAACAGCTCTGCCACATCAGAAAGTGAATTTTTTAACTCTTTATCCAGTGATGATACTTCTTCATTGAGTAGCAACCTAGATCATCTAACTGTCCTGGACAAGCCTGCTGGATCAAAGACGATGGACAAAGGTAAACCAAGAGATGCTTACTTTTCTTTGTGGAATGAATATTTGTGTGCAGATGTGGAACTCTAATGTTAATTTTTAAAAAGAATGTTTAAATAATCATGAATGATGATTCAATAATTAAACAGTCAAGTGGGGCTAAGCCCAAGAGCTGCTTCTGTATAGGAGTTTTCATGTGGAAAACTCCACCTTCAAGGCCATTCATTACCCACTGTAAGCATCACTAACCAAATGCCTATGACTATGAGACATGTGATCATCAAATAATGATACTTTTACACCAATCTGAGAAAAGCTTGACTCTTTTTGTGGTCCCATGTACTATGCTCTGGAGATTGTGGTGCTTAGATCAGGGTTTTGCAGACTGATATTTATAATATCACCTCCATGGTTCCAAACAAATGTGGAGCAATGACCTTCCCTGGGCCATGACCGCAGAAGAGGTCTGGGTCTCAGCTAGTTGTCTCCTGAAAATGCCCTTGTGGTTAACAGGAAAACAATTTGCAGGCACTTTGGAGGGCAGCCCTAGAACTTTTAAACACAAAGGAGAGCACAGCTTATGCTTTTGAAAAAAAATTTTAAGTCATGGCCAAGGAAAAAGTTAACGGAGTACAGAAATTAATAATGTGAGCTTTCTTAACACTATGTGATAATTGGTCCTTATCTTTTATTCAGACTAACTTCTTTTATTATTGGTTTTCAAACATGATGTGTCTTTTCTGGTGGTCTGTGCCTTATTCATTCTGGTGTAGAATGAGCTTACCTGATAGAAGATACTGAGCAATGAGAGAATGATGAGTTTGGTTTGTACTTTTTTAGCGTACTATTGAGAGACAGTTGATTGGCTAAATTCCCATGATACCTAGCCAGAGAAGCCCAATGACATAGATGACTGCTCTCCCCTCTCCCCTAGCCTAATCAGGGAAAGTTTCTTTAAGTTCTCAAATTTTCAGATGTACCCTATTAATTAAATATTTAATATCAGAGTAATCGAGGCCAAGGATTACACTGCCGACCCAGTTGTGTGTGTGTGTGTATGTGTGTGTATGTGTGTGTACAGTATTTTAAAATATGTGAATTTGAATGCTCAGGCTGGAAACTCATTCTCCAAGTCACCACAGTTGTCACCACTCCCTGTGGCCTCACCGGAAGATGCTGCACACAGTTGAGTTACCTGCCTGGCCTCCGATGGCATTTTTGTTTGATACCTCTAATTTAGGTCAATGGTCTACTTTACATTAGAAAAAGTGGAGTAAACGAAGTCATTGGCAAAATAATCTACTTCTAGAGGTGAACGAGGTGGGATGGGAAGAGGAAGGAAACACCACCATTGAGGAATATAGGGGGGTCAAGATTGGACTGTGAGAAACAGAAAACAGTAGACTCAGGCTGGCCTCAGGTTTGTGAGGTGCTGTCATGTGGAAGAAGTAGTGAGCTTAATTTGTGTCTCCTTGGAAGTACAAAATTGATGCAAATTTTGAGGCCAGTGTTGCAAGTAAGAAGTGAGTAGTTTTAGGTTCAGCATGAGAAACTTCTTTTTAATGTTGAGAACTGTTTAAAATGAATAGGCTCCTTGGAAAGTAACGCATTCCTTGTCATTGGAGGTGTTTACTCATTCTGAGACACCATTTTCGTTGGGCATTAAGTTCATGTTGCATATTGATCAAAATTTTTGTTCTTATGTAGATACATTGAAGAGAGAATTTAAATACCTTGAACTAGGTGGCCTCTAACTTGATACTTAGAAGATCTTTCCAGATATAGGACTGGTGGAACTAAAGAAAATAATGAAAAGTACCACATCTGTTCTTTTCCTGCTAAAAACTCTTACTTTAATCATTGGGCCATAAATAGAACTAAAAAGTTTCAAGCATGCATAAACACACACACACACATATAGCAACCCAGGATGAGGATAGCTTCAAAAGCAAAATAGAGAATAAAATTCCATTTGCGTTCTTTCCTAAGAGATAACCCTACAGATTGAGTTTTCCTTTAGGACGAATAACCTGTGTGTCACGGAAGATGCATGCAGTTCTCATCCGTATCTAAATGTCATTCCGGGAATGCATGTGCTGTAGAGACTGGCTGGGTCCCAACAGCTCTTTTAATCTAAGAAGGAAGAAACCTGTTATTTTTAAATTTTGAGTTAAGTGTAGAGTGACCAACAAAACCTGTATGCTTCTTCAAACAGCTTGACGTGAAGGTATTCCTCTCGGTAGAAAGGAAGAGAAAATAAAAGTATTTTTCCCTCGCTGATTTGTTGGCAGTTGCCATATGTTACAAAATTTTTGCTGATGATTTTCTCTTGCTGCTGAGGACTTGGTTAAATTCCCAGAAGAGTTAAACCACATAAAGTCATTGCTATGGAAACAGCAACCCAGTCTTTGCTTGTGTTTGTGATGGCTTGCTCTTGAGTAATCAGATTGCATATTGTGGATTTTTTTTTTACGTGTGCGTGTGTTTATGCTTTGGAGAAGAAGACAGCTTTCCATTTTTGTGACTTCTAAAAATTATTATTTTCTGAGATGCCAATTAAAAAAAGAAAAGCGCTAAAATTCCTGTGTCTGAAATATTCTTACGGGTGTTTTTATGACAGGGATGTAAGTTTCGACATGGTCCAAGACAGGAGTTAGGATTTTAAATTAAGTCCCAGTCTCAAGATGCTTTTGCTGTAAAAAGAGGCTTTTATCCTAGAAAAGATTCTTAAATGTTAATAACAGAGTCCTGAAACAAACAGACAGCATGTATTATAGCCTTCTTTTTATTTAGACAATGAGAGAAATATTTTACAGTTGGGATGCAATTAAAATTGTGGTTGCTAGAATTTTATACTGAATTTAAGTACCCTTTTAGACATTTCTCCCCTGCAGTGTATGCTGTTAAAAAAATGCAGGGTGTTAATTGCATCCTATTACGTTTCTACCTTGGGAGTTCTAGAGTTTCAGAGCTCTCCAGATTCTTCACTGAATCTTTCCACAAAGCATAGAGGAAAAAGAGGTGATGGGGTTAACGGAATGTTCATGTCAGCTCAGTTTTACTCTATGCTGTTACTTTCTTTTGTGAGAGTTTATTTGGCCCATGACTTATGCCTCTGTGATGACGACTCACATTATATGTTTCTGGTTACATTATGCTGACAGTGTGGAGACGATTTTACTTATACTTATTCCACGAATGGAGTGACCATATACCCTGGATGCAGAAAAGTTGAATAACCACTAAGAAGACTAATGCCAGATTTATGCAAATAAATTGCCAAGTACAAGTACAGCCAGAATCGATCTGGGAATCGTGTTGAATAAAAAACACTTTTAACGAAGAGACAAGCATACTAGAGCGTGCATGACATCTCAGGAAAGTGACATAAATGAGCCAGATTTTAGGATTTAGCAAACATTACCAAAAATTTTACACAATCTGAGTGTGAACTGTACCGATGTTACATTATTTTAGCTAGCTACTTCAGTGTTGCTGTAGGAGTTATGTGGCATGTCTCTTTAGGAAGCCAGGAGATAATAAAAAGAAAAAGTTGAAGGCTGAACTCTATTAAATTTAGTATTATATTTTTGAGTACCTAACATGTACTCATGTACTTAGTGTTAACAAGAATACAAAGATGAGAAAGATACAATTTCTGGTCTAAAAAATTTTAACATCTAGGGGCTGACCCAGGGGCGAAAGCGGTTAAGTGCCTGTGCTCTGCTTCGGCGGCCTGGGGTTCGCAGGTTCGGATCCCCGGCACGCACCGCTTCTCAAAGCCATGTGGCGGCGTCCCATGTGAAGTGGAGAAAGATGGGCACAGACGTTAGCTCAAGTGTTAGCTCAAGGCCAACCTTCCTCAGCAGAAAAAGAGGAGGATTGGCATCAGATGTTAGCTCAGGGCGGATCTTCCTCACACACACACACACACACACACACACACACACACATTAACATCTAATGGGGAGAGTGGGAGGAATAAGACTCGTTTAACAAAAGAAAGCAGAGTAAAGTAAGTGCCACAGAGAGATACAAAGTACCCGAGGGATTTAAAAGAGAGCAGAGACTCAAAATACAGATCACATCTAAGTGATCTAAGATATGATGTAAGTGAGAGGATCTGTGCGTAGAGAGGGGATCCATGGGAAAGAGGGATGGAAAAGAAATTTGGATGATGTGGAATATTGGGCTAGTCATTAGTTTATTTCAGTAGATAATGGATGGCCATTTCTAATCACAGTAATCATATAATTGGAGCTATACTTTAGAAAAATTATGTTAGCGTAGAATGTGGGGTAGAAGAGTATAAGGGGACGCTGGAAATTAGAAGAATTAAGAAACTTGTGTAATAGCTGGGGTGACAGTGGAAATAGGAAGCAAAGGAGAGACTTGAGGGGTTCGGTAGTCAAGGTGAAGACTGATCTTGGTCTTTGTATCTCTGTTACTTAATTTAGTCCCTAGAACATTTCCTAATGATCCTGTTCTTTGAATTATAATTCGAGAAGTGATCTGAAAATGGGAATAAATATTTACTGTTGGGAAAGTCTTGACTCTATAGTTGTTGACCTCAGTGGCGTTGATCTCAGGCACAGATGACCACCACCTGCTGTCTCTGCTCTGTGCCAAGTGGCTAAAGATCCCTAGGATACATTATGAAATAATGCTGATGAGGTTACCTGCAAATTTGTGCAGTAGTAACTAGCTCATTTGTAGTTCTCAGAACTTTATCTCATCTTTTTTTTTAGAAAAATACTTCCTATAACTTTTCCTGATGCTAGGAGTTATGAGTGGAAGATGGTGGGGCAAGGGTTTTGAAGATAATGACAAAGGTAATCTAGATTTTGATATATAGTCTTAGAGGGGCAGTGACAGTTTGGAAGATGTAGGAGGAGGTAAGGAATTGGAGGTCATAACTGAAGATGAAAGATATATAGAGATTCAGAAGAGAGAGAATGTAAATAGAAAAGAGAGAATTCTTGTACTCAGAGAGAAGTAAATTTACAGGTGCAGGATTTACAGGTG